GCCGGATTACTGCGAATGAATATCTCGACATCCTCAATGATGAAGTTCTTACTATGACTAGCATACTGCTGCCAAACACTGCCATATTCCAAGACGATAATGCGCCCATACACACAGCCAAAAAGGTTCAGTCTTGGTTTGAGGAGCATCAGAATATCATCAAACATCTTTCCTGGCCAGCACAATCGCCAGACCTCAACATAATTGAACCGTTGTGGGGAGTTTTAGAGCAGAGAATAAGGAGCAGATTTCCATCTCCAACATCATTAAAGCAATTGGCGGATGTTTTGGTACAAGAATGGGACAACATTCCGTTGGAAACTATTCAGACACTCTACGAATCTATTCCGCGAAGAATTGCAGCTGTTCTACGAGCAAATGGTGGCCCAACACTTTATTAATAAATAAATATTGTGTATATGTCAAGTGTTCATATTATTTTGTCCACCCTGTATATACATAAGTACACCATTTCATAATATTATACAACTAACGTGTCTAATAAACAATATGTTCAATTGCAATATGTGCAATCGCTTCGAGCTTATTCTACTGCGTATTCAATCTCCATGACCTAAACAACCACGTGTTTAATCGCTTTATGTTTCATCAACATAATGTCCAAAATCTGCTAATCTATTGTAACTTGAAAACTAGCCATCAGTGCCATTGAGACTTTTGTTCAGCATGACTAGGACTACATCATACTAAAATTTCAGCCAAATCCGCGAGGGCCATTCCCCATAAGATTTGTGCGGGGTCCTTTAACAAATGTTACATTTAGCTTAAACTAAGTCATTAACTTAAATCCTTATGACATTCCTGTATGTCAAAAATAAGTTATTTATTAATCTTTATTATACGTTATATTTTTTATAGGATATATATATATATATATATATATATATATATATATATAACTTCGTCATAATTGTAAAGAATTGATCGATTCTATTAGAATAATAATAGAGATATTTAAAAAAAAACTGCTAAATAAAGATAATAATATTTCGTTCTTATTCCGTAACGAGATAGTACTCCTCGTATCACACTGTTCAATATTTTCAGTATAAACTTCTGTTATTGGATTTATGAAATTCTCAGAAAAAGGTTAACCGTCATGTACTGATAATTTTCGTTATAATATTCTTTAAAGTTATATATCAGCTCCAACTCTAAATAATTGTTCATGGAAAATTTTTTTGATATATCACTGCTAGTAGAGTTAATACGGTACGATCTTTTATAGATACAACAAAAATTTGATTAGTTCCACGTTTTTGAATTCACCGAACTTCACCGAATTTCACCGACCTATTGTCCTCGGATAACTCGTCTACGATTATAGTTTCGTTTTTCAATCTAGCCTGATTAACCTCTATGATTTGTCCAGGATCACCAAACGTACTAATGCAATTAAACCACATCGTTAGTAACTAATTAAAAAAAATATGTGAAGAAATTATTTGATTCAAATGTTTCGCAAATGTTGCGAAAAAATGTTTTTTGCAATTAAACCACTGTTTTCCCGAAACCCAATACTCTTGATTCATAGATTCCTTTATTATTTAAATGTTGCGAAAAAATTTTTCCGCAACATTTAAATATTGAAGGAAATTATTAATGAAGGGTATCAGGTATCGGGAATACATTCGCGTTGAATACTAAAAATACTAAAATACAAAATCGGTCTAAGCGTGGAAGGTTGATTCGTCGCGCACGATTACCGAAAAAAAATTCGGACGTACGTCTCGCTGGACAATTTTATCTTTCCACGAAGAAACGTTAATATTATACTATGGTAATATTAATATAATATTATAACATCTGTGTTCGCTCCTCACTAGTCTTAAAAACTTTGTCAGTTATTGCAATATTGGATTATTTGGAAAAAAAGTTTGTGCGGCTTTTAAATAAAATTCAAAAACATTTTT